CCTGGTTCACGGCCGGCCGGCCTCCGTGTCCTCACACGGGCAGGGCGAGGGCGCTCCCTCGGGTCCTTCCCTGTGGGCACTAAGTCGGTGTATTTATCATTTTACTTTTGTTCTGTGAATATCATACGCGTGTCTCCGCCTCTATATTTCTATTAGTTTATATATAAATCCACATAGGGCTGGAAATCACCCCCTAAAAAATGGTAGCAGTGGTCAGTGAATAAGCCCTCTCGGTGGTGGGCTTATTCAGGCAGTGATTTTATTTCTTCTTGATAATTTTTAGGTTTTTCCCAAGTTTTCTGAAACGTCCATGGAGTATTGTAATCACGAATGAAAGCATTCTAAGGAAAGCAGCCCATGCTGTGTGACGCAGGGCATAGCTTAAGCTATAAGAGGACCGATATTAACATTCAACAGATGCTTAAGCAAATCGCATACAAATTCATAAAAAGACTTCTTAGGCGGTAGTTTGTAAATTCTGATTTTGAAATATGGGTGTTTGAAGAAATACAGTTACTAGTATGTACTAGTTATGCTAGTTATACTACAGTGTACTAGTATAACTATTCAGTATCACGTCATATGACGCAGCAACACGCTGTAGAAAGAAACTTTAAACTGAAGCGTGGTCGGAACGCTGGGTAAGTCTGCGCAGTGCCGCCCACGGTCAAGCAGGCGGGCTCCCCGAGGCCTCGCCGGCCCCGCAGCGGACCCTCCGGTGTCGCCCGGGGTCCGTTACCAGCCCTGCAGCCTCGCTGCGACGATGGCATCGATCTTAAAACACTGAGGTGGAACTGAACAGGGTGTATGTAAAGCACTTTGCATAGTGTCAGATGCATAGTATTTTTTAAAATATCACTCATTAATAATAACAGGGTGGTAGTAATATTTTATTAGATTAGGAACCTTCTATTGGATACGCAGCCCAGGGAGAGACAGGGACACTTGAACTCCAGGGAGTTGGGTCTGAAGCGTCACAGGGCAGCACTTGGCTTGTGAAGAAGGGTGACCAGTGATGTAGGCGGGAAACCAGGGGAGGTGGGGTCTGGAGGCCAGGCCAGGGCCCCCCCGGCGGGCGGGTTCCCAGGGGTTCGCTGCTGCTGCTGTTATGCTTACTAAGAAAATTATAGTCACTAATGATTAATTGCCGGCAATAAGAGCGAACAATCTTTTGGTGTGCCACTTAGGTGGAAATTTTTAAGCCTGGAGTGGTGTTAATGAAATTATGATAATCCTCTGAATTAGTAATCCGTTCAGTCAACAGGTTCCTATTTTTAATTGCAAACCCTGAATTCTTCCAATTCGTCCGTCATCGGTGTGTTTACGTGAAACGGTTTCCTGTCTATGAAGTTTCTTAACGGCTTCTTTCCCCACATTTAGTAAATTAAGTTTCTTTGAAGCAATTTCCATCCTATTTATTTATTTGAAATTATCTGAGCTCTTATTACAGGGAAAGCACAGACTCAGACGCTGAGCCACATTCTGGGGTTCAGGAAGCTCCAGGGACATCAAATTTTCAAACTACCTAAAGAAAGCATGTGTTACCCCCAACACTGAACCATGAAGAGATCATAGTGAAAGCAGCTAATATAGAAAAAAAATGAAAGAAACAGACAGAGAGGGAGAGGGAGGGAGGGAAAGAAAAAAAAAAAAAAAAAAAAAAACATAAGAACTTTATTCCTCATGTATAATTATTCTGCATTTTTCAGTCTTTCTTACCCTTAACCTTCAGGGGTTGCCCCAGAATCTATCACCTTCTTAAATGTCGCTATAAGCAAGGGGGCCGCTCTATGTATTTGAAGTTGTTTAATCTGAATCACTGAGGACGACCCTGGTCAGGACAGACCAGTGACTCTCGGACAAAAACTCCAACACTTACTGAATGCCCCTTCCCCAGAAAACAAACTCACAAAGAGACAAGAAATCAATTAAACAAACAAATAAAAAACTTGTCCCCTGGGCTGAAAAAATGAAGCCTGAAGGCGGGGCGCCCGGCTCCCTTCTGCCTGGACCCACCGCCCGCCTGCTGCTGGACCCCACGGGGGTCTGTGCTGCCCGAGGCGGGAAGGGGGCCTCGGGGACCCCGCAAGAGGAGAAGGCGCTGGAGGATCCAGGGAGTGTCTCCCGGCCGCGTGAACCGATGCTGTCCAACCGAAGAGGCCGTCGCGGAGGCAGAAGGACCCACAGTGGGGACAGTCCTCAGCAGAAGGGCACCAACCACTGAAAAAAAAATCCCTGGTGGGAATTAGCTTTACTCAGCTACATACACTTACTTGAAATTGTTAAAAAATCATCGGGCTCTCAGGCAGGCCCTGTGGGTTCAGATGCCTGCGTCGCACCCGCGGGCGGCTCCTGTTTCCCTCTTGTTCCCCGAGTGTCCGTCCTGTTTGCCGCGTCTGCTAGTTTGGGTGACATTTGCTTTGGGTTTAGTACCTCCTGTGGACTCTGTTCCCGCTCACTGTGCGCCTGCCTCCTGTCCCCTGAGCGAGCTCAGGGTCAAGGTGCTTCAGCTCAGGGCGGGATGAGGGACTCGGAGGCCTCTGCCCGTCACCTTAGCGCCCGTCCCGGGACATGGGATGGCCGCTGTGCGCGGCCAGCAGGGCTGGGGAGCGAGAGCAGGTTGCTGACCTCACTCCCGTTTCTCTGTGGCCGTGGTCACAGTGCAGAGACAGGCAGGAGAGAAGCCAGACGGAGGGCGGGTGGGGGGAGAAGGCCTGGGGTCTGCGCTGCCTCTCTGGACAGATGTTGGGGGGCAGGCGCTCAGTGGAGCCCCTTAGGGGTCACTCGTGAGGATGGGACCAGAGAAGGGGCAGTGGGAAGAGGGCGAGGTCGGGTCACCCGGAGGCCCTGCCTTGGTGGTGATGCCCAGGGAGCCGGAGCTGAGACAATGCTCGGGGGGACCCACTGGGCCTGTGTGTCCTCACGGGGTGAGTCCCCTGTGTCTGCCCTGGGAGGTGTGTCCCTGGGGAGGGGCCGCCTGCGGCTGAGCCTTCCTGAAAGGGGCTGACAGCCGGCAATGGCCACTGGCCTGTGGTTCTGTGAGGGGGCGTCTTCCGTGGCCTCCGAGGTGGCCCATCCCCACATGGGCCACGGCCCCCTCAGCATCAGGAACACCCTGGGCTCCCTCCTCAGTTCTTTTCTGTGCTGCAGGGGAGCAACGTCCAAGGTTTAGGAGCCCCCTTCACACTCTCACCTGGAGAAACGCAAAGATAAAGACTCGTTTGAAAAGATTAGAGGACCGAGATTTACCGTAGATACGTAATGTGTCACGTCGCATGACTAGATTAATGGGGACAAGATTCAGAACCCCCAGCCAGACCCCCCCCTTGATGCCAAGAAGGGTGCAAGCCTGTGACCCCGATTGACTGATAGGAACGAGGGCCCCACGGGCTCCCTGCCTCAGGCGTTGTGGCGGATTCAATGCCCCGGAGCCTGAGAAGGCGCCTCCCAAAGTGGACATTGTACGGATGCCTCTGCGGGTGCTGAGAGGTGGAGTCACAGAGACGAGGTCCTGGGGGACACAGTAGTCAGTGACCAGAGGGAGGGAGGGTAATCCCGGAGGGGATCCCCGAGCACCCCCAGGGCAGCCATCTGGGTGCAAGTGGTAAGGAAGTTACACCAACACTGTCCTGCACTGAGCTACGCTGTTCAGGCTGCTCTGAGGATGGCGCATTCATTGTGTCTGAACCCCCTGTAGTCTTGAACCCTGCACTCGCTGCCAGCACGCCCACTGTGCTAGCCAGGGCTCCCCCAGAGAACCAGAACCTAGACGATCTTATGTAATATATACGATTCATCCTAAGAAATTTGCTCTCACAATTCTGGAGGCTGAGAATTCCCCAGATCTTCAGGATGAGCTGTGAGCTGGAGCCTCAGGAGAGCTGCTGGTGTAGTTTCTGTCCAGAGGCTGGCAGGCTCGAGACCCAGGAAGAGCCCGTGTTTCAGTTTGAATCTGAGGTCAGGAAAAGAATAATTCCCCAGTACAATGCCAGTCGTGCAGGAAGAATTCTCTCCCACCTGGAGGAGTGTCAGCCTGGTGTTCTAGTCGACCTTCAACCAGTTAGGTGAGGCCCACCCACATTAGGGAGGGCAACCTGCTTTACGAAGTCGGTCAATTTAAATGTTAATCTCATGAAAAAGCACCCTCAAAGAATCACCCAGAATGTTTGACCAAATATCTTGGCACTATGTAGCCCAATCAAGTCGACCCCAAAAAGTAATGCATCCCACCCATTTTCCAGATAAATTAACAGACTTGGAGTTAAGTGACTTATGGAGGCCACAGAACTACCAAGTTGTAAGCAAAGATCTGAACCCAGGTCTCCATGCTTTCAGCTACTCCAGGTCTAGGTTCACACATCTAAATCAGAAATGTTTAAATTAAAATATTATTTTCTACTTTCTTTCCACAAATGCCTCCCCCCATTTTTTTTTTCAGACATGACCAGAGAGTGGAACTTCTTACAATGTGTGATGCAGATCCTAGAAAAATAATGACATTTGTTTAAGTCTGAGAACTATGGCTTTAGAAACCAAAATCCCATATGTTCTTTTCATATTGCTAGAGGGTATAAGGGTCTGCGAGGACTTGTGGTTTTTTATTTAACATTTTTTCCCCAGTGTTCAGAACATGCTCTTCTCATACTAGTTTTCCATCTTTGAGTCTTACTAAACTTTGCGTGATTACATGAATATATGATTAAGTAAATGAGCGACTTCCATTTTTATCTAAAATTTTTCATGACTGTAGCAAATTTAGAAAACTCTATAGTCACGGTACTTAGGTTGAGAAATCTGCCTGAACACTGAAGTAAAATGATAATGGTTTATGGAATTAGCTGTTGCTGGTGGCGAATAGGTCCGGGTGTAGAAGGGGAGCGGTAAGCGTTATTTTTAGCTTCTGACCCTGCACGTGTAAGATACGGTCTTGCTGAGGACGGACCTAGGTTATGGTCTCTCTTCATTCTTACCAACTAATGGCTTCATTTTGTCTCTTCCAGTGAAAAAGGCAATTGAACTGAAGTCCAGAGGAGTCAAGATGCTGCCCAGCAAGGAGAGCAGCCACAAGAACTCCGTCTGTAAGTCCCTCGCTTTCTAACCGCGGGTCCGTAGGTCAGCTGGCGGGGCCGGGGGACAGCTCTCCTGGGCATTTCTGGAGAAGCCGGTCCACACCTCGTCTCTGTCCGCGTTCCCACCTCGAGNCCTGCGAACTGCGGTCCACACCTCGTCTCTGTCCGCGTTCCCACCTCGAGAAGCATGTTCTGGAGAAAGAATGTGTGCCGACCTCTCTGTTGGGGAAGGCCGTGCTGATCCTAAATGAACCTCAGGGCCGTCCTCACTCGGCCCTCGCTGGCCACCGGTCGCCGGCGGAGGCGTCCCTCTGAAATAGACGTTTACCCCGGTTCTGCCCCCCGTTCTCGCATACCCCCCCCACACACACACACGCACAGGCGTGTGCTAAATTATCTCTGGGACATAGAACCCGGGTCTTGTCACTTTCCTATTAAAATGTTCTTGGCTGCCCGTGGCCTGAGGGATAAGATGGCTCTAGGGCAAGTGGACACTCGGTCAATAGCTGTTGAGTAAATGAAGGCACCTCTGCCGCCTGCTTCCTGGTGGCCATGCCCTTCGTCATCACTTAGCCAAAGGGCCGCCTCACAGTCCTTGCCCATGCCATGGTGCTTCTCCCCAGAAGCCCCTCCTTCCCTCCGCTGAGTGCAGAAGCCCCAGGGGGCACTCAGACCCGCGGGCTGAGCTTTCCCTGACTCCCGCGGGCACCGTGAGCTCTGCCCTTGTTTTGTTCCCATTGCTGTGTCCCTGCCTCCGTCACAGCGCTTAGTTCGCTGCGGTTCCCTGACCCGCTGAATGCAGGCCAGCAGGCTCCACCGAGGCACCCAGGAGGCTCGGTTTCCAGGGCGGTCCTTTCCCGGCACCGTACTCTGTTTAAGGCCCTCAGCCAGGCGGGTTGCGTCTTCCATTCGGGCCTTGTGACCTCTCCCGTGGTCCCCCTGCTCCCCTGAGTCCCCGGGCTCCTTACCTGGCGTTTCGGGTCTGAGGGATTCGTTCTCCCGCTGCCTGGCGGTTGGTGGAGGAGGAAGGCCCGGGATGGGCACCTGGAGCAGCCTCAGCTGGAACGGCTCCGTTCTCATCTGCCTGATGTCTTGGGCTTCCGCACGAGGTTTCATTCCTGACAAATGCTCCACTGAAATTGATAAATGAAAACAAACAACGATAAAAATCTTCTCATAACCACACTGTCGACTGACCTGCCTTTGCTCTCCCGTGTCCCCGGCTTTACGGCCTCCTACCGATTGTGTAACAACAGCCCTGTATGGCCAAGTACTGAGGACACACGTGGGCAGGGCCAGTGTCCGAGGGAGACGCCCACCCGCCGCGTAGACCGGCGTCTGTCTTCCCGCTAGATCTTCACCAGGCAGAGGGAGAGCATCTCTTCTGGCCCTTCCCATGAGAGCACTGATCCCACCGTGGGGGCTCCGCCCTCACTGAGCTTGTTACCCCCAAAGCCCCACCTCCAAATACCATAGAATGGTGGGTTAGGATTTCCACACGTGAGTGACGGGGGATGTGAACTTTCAGCCTATTGCAGGGTGTGTCCCCCGAGGTCGGACCGCAACTCGGGTCGTTAGGTCCCCCACACAGTGAAATCGACCTGTAAATGTTTTCATTGCACTTTCTGTTTGATAATTGTGGGCAGTGTCATGCAAATTAAATTGGACTCGTGAAGGAAGAAAACAGCCGAGGGACGGCGGAAGAAAGGAAGCGATTTTTTAAAAGCATTTTAAAATTTTGTCATTGTTGGCTCTGAATTCAGGATGCTCCGTAGAGTGGGAGATGTGGTGCTTCCCATGATTCGTGGAATTGATATTTTATGGTTAAAATCCCTGCAGAAATGATCCGCCGTGACATGGAACCACATGTCAGGGGAGCCCTCACATCAAATCAGCATTAGGGCCAATAGCAGATCAATTAGACACCAAGCTTTCTTGTCCGTGGGACATTTTGGCAGGAGCTTGGTTGTAAGGAGATATTTCTTCTGTTCTCATGTGAACACAAATTGACAAATACGTAATCACTCGTGCGGTGTTAGAAAGTGTTCTGTCCTTTCTCCCAACAGCATTAAACTATTTTTTTTGTCAGACACAAGAATTAATCATTAGAGAAAATGAGGAATTGAAGGAACCGTGAGCCTTCTAAGGTCGGCGGTGAGATTAATGGTCATGTTGTTCATGCAGAAGGAGTGACGAGACTAAATTAAATGTTTCACAGAGAAACGCACCTGGGCTTTGAAGCCCGAGAAACAAGGATTCAAGGGCTGTAAAATTATTTATCTTAGTCCAGCCCAGTTTCGTCATTTATAAAATTAAAATAGTAATGATTTTTGACAACGAGATAAAACAAGTTGTTTGTAAGTTCCTCCCCCAGCAGGTGACATTTGGTGGGCATTCGGCAGAGCCAACCCCTTAGGGCCTCTCCACACAGACACAGAACGAAGCCGAGGGCGTGCGTGGTGGGTGAGCCGGGAGTTAAAGCGCGGAAGGGCCCTGCTTTCCCGAGGGGGGGCGACCCAGACCCTCAGCTTACTGTCTCAGGTCTTGGAAAATAGGCTGGTACATCTGGGAGGTGAGCTCGCACCGCAGGCCCCCAGAGCCCGTCCAGGACACGTTCCCGGGGTGCTGGGAGCCCTGACCTAGGAAACCGCGGGCCGCTTCCTCCAGCCCCTGGTGACTCCGGGAGACGTGAGGTTGCCCGTGAAGCACTGAGTCCGCGCCGCATGGCTTTCAGGGGCATCATGTTCATCGAGATGATCCGACCGGCTGAAATGCACCGTTTATATTACATGCCGTGCCTGTGGTGCTGACGCATCGTCGCTCGGTGAACTTCCTTCTCTGGCAGTTCTGCTTTTCCTGGGGGCCCGGCTTTTCTGGGGGCCCAGGGCCTCTGTTGTTCTCAAGTTGGCCCCAAGCACGGGGCCTCATCGCCCAGGCCTCGGCCCCTGCACCTGAGGGTTTGGGGAAAGAGGTAACGAAACGTTCGTGAAAACCGCTCATCACAGGCCCCGACAGCCATCGTCGCTGTTGTCCCCCGTGGCCCCCGTGGACTTCTCTCAGTGCCCTTCTTTCTAACGCATGAGGCTCCTCGCGGAGTCCGAACGTGGCAGCCGTGGCCAGGTACTCACCTTTTCATCCAGATGAAAGCCGGTGCCTACTAGGAGCTCACCCACGCCTGGTCATAAAACCTGACGTGGGTTTCCCGCACGAACTTAGAAGGAAAAGACTGAGACGTTTTGGGTTTTCATCAGTTTAATTAATTTTGGATAAATAATGTTTTCAGAAAAAAAACACACACAGGTAATCAAGGCATTCATTCTGTGTCGTGCTCTCGCTTTCCAATTGTTTGAAGCTGTGGAAAGATTACGGCAGAAAGGGGCACATTACGCAGCAGAGAAAACCCCCGGAATGAGCTTTCACCCGCCGAGGGACGGTGGGCTCGTCGGCCTTCACCCTGAGACGGGTTCTCTCAATGCCCAGGTCTCGTCCCGTCCCCGCGCTCTGTGGTTACGTGACGGGAACTGCGGGTGCGGCGTCCGCCTGCGCCTCCTCTCCGGACACAGCGTGACTCGGGCAACGTCAGGGGTGAGGACCACTGGGCCCGACGACCCGTTGGGGCCCTTCCAGCCCCAAAGCAGAGACCTGCGGGGGGAGAAGAGAAAGGAAAGTCCCGGCTGCTATTTTTCAGCTCGGGATTGTTTTCCGTTGGGAGGTAAAGACGGACGGCTTTGCACACTCAGTATTGATTTGCTGCAACTCACTCGGGTGAACTGATGGCCCCCCTGGTCCTGACCACTTGCAGTTACCATGGCCTGTGCCCAGGCAGGACGGGGCACGAGGGTCAGAACATTGTTTAATTGGAAGCTGAATTTAAAAAGTGCAGAAAAACTGAGCAGGTCAAGGCATCGTCCTCTACACCCTCAGGAAAAAACAGCGGCGGGCACGGGAACAAATGACCTGGGATTCTCCCGCTCTCCGGTTTCCGCGGGGACCCATTCTCTCCCTGCCTTGAAAAAAGCTCCTGAAGCAAAACAGAACGATGCTCATTTCAAGTTGCCCGACAGACAGTCCCGTTAATGAAAAGCAATTGGCTGGAGATTGTGTTTTACAACGACAGGCTTTTCTGTTGTGTTAGAGGCCGTTAGGCAGCAGGGCAGGTTTTCAAGCGTCTGTGGCTCCTTGTCCAGCACGAAGCCGCAACGCGAGGCCTTGACTGCTCTGCACAGAGGCGCGGCCGTCGCTGCCGGACGTCCGAGGTACCTGCAGCGCGGCGCCGGGTGACCCAGTTTCTAAAACGCGCCGTTAAAAGTGACGCGTGCCCTGCCCCTGGGCGTGCTGCGTCTACGGGCTTCTCAGTATAATCTCTGTGTTCACTGCCCTTTCTCAAGGTTGGAGGAGTTTACAAACGAACGACATAATAGTGTGTAATATTCCCTTTTACCGTCTGTCCCGATGGGCTCCGGTAGAAAGACCGTTAACCTGCTGTCTCTGGTTCCTGGCCCCCCGTGAGCCTCGGCGCTTGGACACAGTCACAAGCCTGGGCCACTTCCCTTTGTGTCCGAACCGCCGTCCTTCCTCGCGGGCACTGCCGCACCAGCCCCGTCGTGCCCTGCCCTGCCCGCGCCCCTCAGCCTGTCCCCCCGCGCCTCCTGCCAAGGCCAGGGCACCC